GCAAGTCACACTAAAGATAGGCAAAAAAAGGCGGGGGGGGGGCAGGGATAGGAGGGAAGAACATTCCTCTCAGCATAAGTATTTTTATTGAAGTCATGGCTCTGTTTAATTCTAAGAAATCAATGTACGTGTCTCTGAGGCTTCCCTCAGCATGAACACTAACTTGCCATAGAGACAGCCTGCATTTGCACAATAAAAACAAGTTACAGAGCCCTTCTGGAAGCCAGCTCTCTTGCGGCTAAAATATTCTAAAGGATTGTGAACATAGAGGAATCAGTAAGAGGGCAGCTGGGAGAGCCAGGGCCTCTTCTGAGCTTAGCTCTGGCAGTCGCATTCTATCCTCTGTAGCCTACTGGGCACTTGTAGTTTGACTGCAATCATTCCTAGTTTGTTATGAGGTATAATGAGTACAGTATCTCGGAAGGACTCAGGGTGCGCTCTCTCCTTACTATTAATTTCATCTTTGTCCTGGACATCTGTCTTAGGCTTCCCCTGCTCGCCGGGTTCTTTTTCTCGTTTGTGTTTACATTGTTTGTTTTTACCATCCTTCTCCCTCTGGTTGTCACTCTTTTCTTCTGGCTTTTCAGCTTCTTCAGATTTCTTTGTTCTGCTTTCATTTTTTTCCCCTTCCACGGCCTTCTGATCCACACAGCCTTCAGACTCTGGACTTTTTTCTATATAAACCAAAAGTAACCAACATTTAATTAACCAAAATTTCATTTCCTCTTATCTCTAGAGGTGCTTTGAGGCAAGGAGGTAGTCCTAAACCTTGAGCTCTCCAAGAGCAGTAATCATTAGTACTTTACTCAGGTTAGGAATACAGCACTCAAAGCCATCTAGCTTACAATCTGCTTCATAATGTCAGGAACAGATATTTAAGGAAGATGACTGGCAATTTTACAATTATAGACTCAGAGTAGAAGATCCTGACTAATATTAGGCACATGCTTCATACTTTGTCCATGCAGTTCTAGACCAAACTCTTCACCACATTAAAAGACAGACCATAAAAACATTTCCCAGACTTACAGGGAGTGAGAGGAGGAAAAACAAAATGAAAAGTTTAAGTGAAAAGGAAACTGCTAAATTGCTACTTAGATTAAGAGACTAGCTCCAGGCTGGAGTGAATGAGTTGGTGATAACTTTTGTGTGGGAATTTCTAAGGCTTTCCAATTTGGTCTTAGACCTTGCTGCCACAAAGGAAAACAGTCCCATGAAATCACTACTGGGGACTGGCTTGAAGCAGGAAGAACAGTGATGTAAGAAGAGGGAGCACCTGAAGGAACTGTTTACGTAACACAAATTCAAGCTGGCAGCCTAGAGTGCAACTAGCACAACTGTAATTTATCAGATGTCCTAGAACTTAATTTTGTTGTGAAATTTCACCATAACTTTCTGCTATAAGAAATTTTAGTCCATAAAACTGTATAGGGTTACCTTGTGCACAAATAACAACATAAACAAGTTCACCGTGTCACCTAAAATGGCAAAATGGGGGATACAAAAATGCACTGAGAGGAGCAAATTTTAAAAGTACCATGATAATTTACCGGTTTAGCTTCATTTTCAGCTGTGCATTTACATTATCTGACATTTTCTTATCCAGTTTTCTTCCCAACACATTAACCAGTTATGATAAATTAAGAAAATGCTTAGTGTTACCCTTAAAGGAAAGATATGAGTTAAGAAAAGTTCTACAGTTGTTCATGTAAGCTGAGGCACTGAAGAGCCTTAGTTCTTCAAATAGGTAAGAATCACATGCTTTTTACAAAGGAATTAATCAGAGATGACCTTTCCAACTGTCCCTGCTTGAAGAAAACCAAGGCAATGTTTTGTAGAAAAGAGGATGAAATATGTATCAGCACACTCAGGCTAGCTGAGATAATCACGGAATAATTTAGATTAGGAGAGACTTCCAAAGATCTCCAGTTCAACTCTCAAACAATAGGGCTAATTCAGATTACTGACTATCTTCAAAAATGGCAATTTTACAACCTACACCTTTCTGACCAACCTGTTCCAATGTTTTAACTACCTTCACAATAAATATTTTCTTATATTGAATCAGAATTCCTGTTTTCCAGCTTACATCCATTGCCTCTCATGCTTCCACTAGGCATATCTGAGAATCTAGTTCTATGTTAGCTTGCTCTCCTGAGGCTGAGCAGATCCACCTTTCTCAGCATCTCCTTGCATATTATATAATCCAGCTCCTAATCAACTTGGTGGTTCTTTACTGAGCTCTCCACTAACTCTGTGTCTTCCTTTCAATGAAGATCCCCAAACTGGACAACACAGTACTCCAGATGCAGTCTCACAAGTGCTGACTAGGACAGAAAAATCACTTCCCTTGAACTGATGGCATTACTCTTGCCAATAAAGTTTAGGATGCATCTGGTCGTCTTGGCTACACAGGCACACTTGATGGCTCATGTTCAACATGTCAACTAGACTTTTTCTACAAAGCTGTCTGCCAGCCAGGTGGTGGCCAGTGTGTATTGTCCTGTGGAGTTATTCAATTCCAAACACAGTTTTATGCATTTACTTGACCTTCCTATAAAGCTATTTCTCCAGTCTGTTGGGTGCCTCTGAAGAGCTGCCCTGCACTCCGCTGTTCCCTCCAGTTTGATGTCTTCCACAAACTTGCTCTGGTGCCCTCTATCCCATCACAGAGACTATTAATAAAGTCATTAAATAGTATTAAGTCCAGTGTCAGTCCCTGTCAAACCCCTGCCACTAATAACTAGTCCCCGGTTATGCTTTCTACTGCTGGACTACAATCCTTTGGGCCCAACAGTTCAGTCAATTTTCTACCCACTTTAGTGTCCACTCAAGCTGTCTGTATCTCACCAGTTTGGCTATCAGAATACTATGCGAACCCATGCTAAAGCCCTTGCTAAAGTCAAGCTAAATGGCATCCACTGCTCTCCCTTTGTCCATTGATACAGTCACCACAGAAGAAAATCAGACTGGTTAGGCAAGATTTGCTCTTGGTAGATCCACGTTCATTATTTCGTATCACCTTGTCCTTTGTGTTCTTGGGACTGGCTTCCAGAAGGATCTACCTCTTAATCTTACCAGGGACTGATGAGCATTAGCAGAACTAGGATGAGAGCTGTGGAAAGGACTGCAAAATTGCCTCATTTTTTCTCATTAGTGAACTGTTAGATCAGCTCAGCTATCTGATGTAATGTCACATACAAAATAAACTCTAGGCTTCACTTAAGCAAAATGTTTTATCTAAGTAATCTAAAAAATGCTATTAAAACCTCATAAAATAAAAAAAAACTGGCAATAAAGTAGTAGCCATAAACTTTCCTGTTGCTGATCTACCCGAGTGAATATTTTGGGGCTTTCAAGATTTCTCACAACCTTTGCCTTGGGTATTGAGAAATCGTGAGTTTGCCTTGTATTGGAAATATATTAAAAAACACACAGAATTTAGGAAGCATTAAGATAACCAGAAAACTGACTTTGTTTCTACTAAATTTAGGTTTAAACTAAATAAATAGAAAATGTTAAAATACTATAAACAACTGTGCTCCAAATTTCAGATACTGAAAGGAGCTCTGGTGCAGGATATGCCTAGATTCCACAGAAAGTCAGTGAGATGTAGTGGCTGACGTCTTATCTGGGTCTTCAGAAATTTTCCATTCACCTATAAACATGCACCAAGTCCTCCTTTGGCTCTTTTCTCCTCCTTCCTATATGGTCAAATTCTAATCTTGTGGGCAGCATTTGCAAAGCCAAAGCAGGTATCAGACTTCATAATATCTACACAAGCTTTTACCATTCTGAATACCCTCACAGCAAGTCTAAAGGAAAACCTGTTCATTCTCTCAGAATGCACCAGAACGCAAAGCCTCTTCAAAAAAACCCAATGTTATAACCTTCTCTTTTCTGATCAAAACTTGTGAGCAGTGAGTATGTTATCAGCATGTTCATAGAAACGATTAACTCCCTTCTGGTTTATAGGTATCACTCTGAGATGAGACTGCCTTGTCAGCAGCCTGCCTGAGTTGATGAAGGGTAAGGATGGTAATGAGAAGACTGAAGAAATTATTTCATCTGTCATTTTGATTGGTTTCACTGTTACCTTGTAAATTTAAGACAGATTTCAAAACACTACCATCAGCAAGCCTCTATTCCAGACATTAATCATCATTCTGCATAAATTCTTATTGAAATAGTCACCCACATGTTGTTCTTAACTAGTCCTGTATCAATGTACAGAAAAAAATCTGCAAAAGCAGGATCTTAGCATTCATTCAAGTTGGTCCAAAAGTGGCATCAATTTTGACCTTGCTTACAAACCTAAGGTAGACAGACTTCAGTCAGCGTCAAACTAGATAGAAAAGAATCAAGTTTAGAAAGATGGGGGAGCCTCAGTGTAAATAATATCAACACTGTATTTCATTTTGACTCATTTCACAAATGTTGTGTTGGGCAATAAGTACTCCTTGAAAAGGTGTTGGTTAGAGAGCGGGGGTTTGATGTTGCTTGTTAACCCATGCTTTAAAGGCTCTCAGATAGAACAGCAACTCACCTCTAATAACTCTAATAATAGCAGGCTACTACTACAAGTTCAAAGGCACCTGCTGAGATTCACAGCATATGGCTGTCTCTAATCTTTGCAGCAGCTCAGGTAATGGAAATGTTACACAGTCACCTCTAAGCGGATCAGTAGTTTTGAAGTTATTTCTAAACAATGAAGTTTTAAAAGAACTCACCATCAGCAGTTGCTGTTTCCTTGGCTTTTGGGTTTCTAGAGCCAAGCCAGTAAGATTCCTGCACAGGGAAATACCAAGGCTGTGGTAGCCCATAGTCCCCTAAACCAAAAATAAGTAGGTAAAGTGCATTTCATAAACACATTCCTCAGTGGGCACAAATTCATCTAGGCAAAGTCTGAGCTATAATTACAAACATTTGCAGTCCTAGTCTTGCATATCAGAAGGTCAAAACACCTACCAAGTACCTGACAGAACAGATTTTGTTTGCAGATAATTTTTTTCTTTTGGACAGGAGTAAAATATTCAGAAAATATGTGATCTGATTGGCCTTACCTTTTGTTAAATAGAATGTGGTTTAATTACTGAATGAAGCTACTCCCTATATGGGAACAATTTGAATCCTCACCAATTGGGTGGCAGCTGCCAAGGAACATACTGATTGCTTAAGATGGAATCCCAGCCTCACTCAGGGATTTTCTTTCAAGGTCCACTTAACACCTGAGGGTTGACATGAGTGAAAAGCTTATTATATTTACACATATTACCCTGGGCCTGAATTCACAACTGGCAATGAGAAAAGAGACTCTGGCTGTTATTTCAGCACACAGGCTTGCAGGAAAAGTGACGACAGTGCTTTTCTTAAGCAAAAAATGGGCTTTTGTGGTCACAGGTTAATTCTGTTTTGAAAAGAGAAAGTGCGATAACGTCATTAGTTCTTGTCAGGCCGGACCAGAGTTAGTGCAAGCCAACACTGCTTTCCTGGATCATACCGATTTACAGAGCGCAGGGATTTCAGCTGCTATGTTTAAAACTGGCATCCTTGTGAGCCCAGATATTATCAGCCTCGTGCTACTTAATCAAAATAAGCGAAAGGAATTTGTGATGCTCACTGAAAGATAGTCAATTTTTCTATATCGAAAACCACTGTTTATGAAAGTGTCTGCTTATTTCTGACTTACCAAAAATACCCTGTATGTCAGGCAACTACTTGTACTCCCATTAATACACAAACTCTCTGGGTCCATAAGCAGTTTGCCTTGCGCTTGTTATGGACTGGATTATACCTTTGGGAAGCTGGTGGATAAAACAATGGCTTCTCATTCAGGATGAATGCAAAATCCAAGTGAACTCTGTTATGGAGCAGAATGCTCAAATAGCCAAAGGAACAGGGTGCCAATGGGTGGTTGGCTGCGGAGAAAACTTGAGCAGGAGCTGAACCATGTGATTCAAAGGATTATTCAGGGAACTCATGTTAGTAAGCTCAAAGACCACAGCACTGATTTGGTAGGTCTGCATGTGTTTGACAGCAAAATGCTATAAGAAATTCCACAGAAACAGAAGAACAGAAAGCCAAGGAAATATTCAGGGCAAATATAGGGAGGAACTGAAGTTAATGAATAGAAGACTTGAAAGGCATTACTTTTGTGTATAGTGCTGGCTGAAAAAAAACCAACTTGGATCTATGAGCAAAGAAACTCCTGTTGTTTAATTCCTGGTGGGTTCATGGAAATAGTAAATTATCCACTCTTTTTTAAATAAACAAGAGTTGCAACACAGGCTTCTCTGAAGAGGAACTTTCAGGAATATTACTGCAAATCAGCTTTGAAAATTAGTATGTTAAAATTGCATTAACCTTCTTCATGAAGAAACATTTCTTAAAAACTGAAAGGGCATTTATTTGATGTAGCATAGCTCACTTCGGTAGGGACACAAAGCAGACTTAAGGTCATATTTTAATTTTGAAGCAAAATGTCCTCAGACACATCTAAAACTATTTAACAAATCCTTATCTTTTCTTGATTTGGATTAACTATCATAAGTGATGTGTGCAGGCAAGCACCATCTTACCTTAATCATCATTAATTTTCCTTCATAGCTAAAAAATCTGCAAGATCTCAAATTCTGAGTAATCACTCAAGGGAAAAAACAAGCAAACAAAACAGTCATCTGCCAAGAAACACATTCTGGAACTTCAGATCACATGTGGGAGTAATACATTAATGAAAAGAAAGTTCACTTGCTTGTACAGCATAAGAGTTGGCATTTATTACATGTAACAATATTCACTAAGAAGCAAGATAACCATTTAAGGTACAAGGACAAACCATCTTCTCACAAAGAAAGATCCCAAACTTTATAATTGATAACAAAGAAAATCCTTTTGTGAACTCGCACTAGAACCAGGATTCCCATTTAGAAATAAAATAAATCCACACAGGAACTTTCACAGGTGCCTAGGACACAGTATATGTCTCAGGAAATAGCATCATCCTTTAAGAAACAGTCGACCTAATGTGGCCACAGTATATATATGAACTAGAACTGTTGTTTCAATATTTTCAAAAAATTAAAAAATTCTCACTAGAATTGGCTGAAACTTCTCAAAAGAAAAATATGTAAGAAAATTGGTTTTTAACATGATATTTTTGTAGATCTATTTTCTATTTAAATTTTAAAACAGAACCAGAAACTGCATCCTCTTTCTTACTCTTTCCTCCTTTTCCGTTCTTTTCAGGGCTAAAATAGGATAAAGGAAAAAGAAAGAGCAAAAAGTGGAAGCCCTTACTAAACCAGTGGTTCTATACTGGATAAGACTCCTGGTCTACAATATTGGATACCCTTTTTCTGACAAATAAATACTCAGAGACTGATCAGACTAACACAGTGCACAACAACTACCAGTACTTTGTATGAATAAGAAATTGACATACCTGGAAAAATGTTGTCAAGATACCAAGAAAGTATTCCATACAGAAAAGCATCAAAAAGCATCATTTTAATGGAAAAAAGAAAACTATATTCATCTCCTTCCAAGGGGCTGGTTCTGACGTTACCCCACTGTAGGCCAAGACCTTGCTCTTCATAGCGTGACAAGTATTCTGTACCGAAACCAAAAGCTACTTGAGAAAGCAAACTCTGGAACAAAAGAGAAATGACATTCAACTCAGCCAGAGGGACATTTTGTAAAGCGAGCACAAAAAAAGATGACCTTTAGGGACTGATCTTCAAAACTTGATAATGCCTAACAAATGATCAGGGAAAAGTGGTTTCACTTTTATATTGGACTGAGATATTTAATCCTCTGAATGGTGGCAATTCTAAGCAGTATTTAGCCATAATAGTCTGAATTCAGCCCTGGCTGTACTTTCTTTAGCTACTAGGCAACCTTCACAGCTTATTTTTTTCCATTAATATCTCTGTTCAGAAAATACTATAGACGCATCTAGAAGTTTGCAGTGCATACCTTTGCCTATCTTGGAAGCAAAATATTTCCTGAGTGTATGGGGCAGGGCAACTATCAGTAACAAGACAGAATGTACATGAGATGCTCAGGATAAGGAAAACCAAAACCATCCTCTCCTGTGGTATGTCTGCTACCTGGTTCTCACACAACAAACTAATAAACCAGTATAGTATCCAAACATCCTCTTCAATATCACACTGCAAAAACAGAGCAAGAAGTGATATAGTGCTGTTTCACAGGATACGTAGCAGCCAGCAATACCAGCAATACCTTAGGAAAATGAGGAGACAAGACGGATCCCAACAGTAACTCTCAGTGAGGCATTATCATAGCATGCCAACTAAAAAATGTTTGGTAGATGGGGAGACTAGGTTCAAACACCTGCTCCCCTTCCTGATTCATTGGGCAACAGAAAATAAGTCTGAATAACTTTGTAAGTTCACAGTTCCATTTCAAAAAACAGCAAGAAGTTTCCAGCTCCACTGAACTGTTGAGTATCTCACCTATAACGGAAGAGAACCAACAAGGAAGCACTGCATGGAGAATGTCTACAACTTCTTAGATGGAAGATATTTTTCAGAGCTTTGGCACTTGCGTTTAAATCCTAACTCTATGTTCAGGTAAAGAAGGAATATGAACCTGAGGTCTTCTCATCGTTAAATATCACCCTGTTAACTAGGTTATGGCACATGAGAAAGATAACTGTCCTCATTTTGTGAATTGCCTTTGTAGTTATTAAACACACCAGAAGTTAAATTTGCTTTGACTTACAAGTAAGTGTTCAAAACTTTTTGAACATTATACTAATTTCCTAGCATTCAAAGAGTCAAATAAATTTCACTGGATTTTCTAAAAGCCGTGAAAATATCTCTTGGTAACTAGGCCCGCTAAAGGCTTATTCACTTGCAATCCCTAATTATTTGAGAGAGATTCAGAGGTCTCCCTCTCTGAATCAAAAAAGCAGAGAGGAGGAGGTGTGCAATGCTTTGTTACTCACACAGGCACAGTGAGAAGGGAAGCTAAAATTTGAACCCCAAGATACCATATGATCAGTGAAAGGCTTACTGCTAGGATCTTCAGATTAACAGTCATGCGGTCTTGCCAGACAAAGCAGACAATGTGAGGCAGATACAAGGTGAAATAGATGACTCCACTGCAGGCAGCTGCCAGATTTGCTTTGGAGAAGAAGGTGCTGAACAAGAAACACTGCATTATGGTGGCTGTGGTGAACGTCAGTAGGAATAGAAAGAAGAGAAGTGGATTGCTATAATGTAGTACTTGTCCATGCTGCAAGCAAAAGGAAAACAGAAAAAATTAGAAGTATTGCCACTTTCTAAACTAGCAGAAAAGGTCACAATTGCCATTGACATGTAACCTGTAATGAGTAATAAGCCAGTCTTTCTTACCTAATATGACTTCTAACTCTCCCAGGCAGTAATGTTTCAACACCTGAGGTCATTACAATAACAAATCCTTCGTCTAACTTTATCCCTGCTCCTGGATTGTGACTTCAGGTTAGTACAACAGGCTGTGGAGCTCATATTCATATTTGATGACTGAATTAAGATCATAACTGATTGAGAACAGACATTCTGTCCCTGTCTTAATAAGCAAATTATTCAAAGCAAAATGTGCCTGCTTGGAAATTCATACATTTTAAATAAAACTATATGCACTATCATTATAAATTTTCATCGATCTCTTCTCATCTTCTTAGTCCACTTGCTCGATGTGCAGGAAAGACAATGTAAGGAAGCCTGACAAAATGCATCTTTAAAAAAAAAATAACAGGAAAATGATAAAGCTTCTGCACTTAAATGATATTCAAGCTCCAAAAGGGTATCACAGCTGAGGAATCCAAGTGCAGTCTCTCAGAGATCCTTGTGTACTAACTAACCCATTGGGTGAACTTTTATTGACTTTTACTCCTTTGAGCTTTTGTAGATGAAACACGCCCTCTGAAGAAGTGCATGGACTGCTGCTGATCATCTATTTACTCCTGAAAAACAATGTTGAGACCTATTTATTAGGCTTGTCTTTGTTTTGAGCCTTATATAAGGCTCAAATAGATCTATAAGGCTATAAATAGGTATCAACATCATTGCAACATCCCACTAGACCTCTGAGACTGATTTCTTTATCAACAGTGATACAATCTCTCGTAAGAATGTATTTACAAAGGTGCCTCACACTGGCACAGTGAAATCCAGGAAAGAAAGAGAATTACAGGTATAAGCACATTCCCCTCTAGTATTAACTACCTCCTGATTTTTAATTAAACCAGTGTAGCAAATAAAGTAAGCTTTCTCTTTAACAGAACCGCAAAGAACTAGAACAACTCATCAGGGCAGGCTCATAAGATCGAACTCTAACTATGCATTTATACCAACATCAGTTCCCCACATCAGAAGAGATGCAAGGGCATTCTTCCTTATCAAAATGCTACAGATTCATATAACTAAATATAGCAGCTAGGAGGAACTTGGTTCTCAGGTAACAGAGATAAGAGACAACATCCAAATTGTCCTGAAAAGTTACAAAAGTTACAGCAATTCTGAGTCACAGAAACAAAAGGGGTCTTATTTTTGCCTTTTTTTTTTTTTCAGGCTGTCCTGAAAGTTCTGTCCTTGCAGTCTCTTTTTTCCATTGAAATAGTGGCATAATTTTGAAGCAGGCAAGCACTGTATATTATAAATGAATCACACATGGTGAATTACAAGATTAAATTTCTTCATATTATGATCTCTTCTATTTATGCAACAATTATTATTTATTGGGAGATCTGCCACTGTCTACAGGAAATACAATACACAGAGTAATCAGCTTGATGTATTATTCTGTGGGAGATCTCACAATAAATCTTACTAGTGAATTTATCTTTCTGTCTCTGCCAAGTGCTGATGCTGTCATGAGGTCTGATTAGAACAATGTGCCGGCTACGTGCTGCGATCAGAACAGGGCCCCCCAGCCATTCCCGTCTCCCTGTGAATGGCTACTGTTCTTTCTCAACAGCAAACTGCTATCAGCAGTATAAACACAATGGTGAGTTTGAGAGTGGCAATCCTTACCATAATCAGTGCTGTGAGGAGGAACGTGCTCATAGTCATCATGATGAAGCTGTCTAGGAACCAAGTGCACCAAATCACCCCATTAGTTATACCCCTGTTCTTCATAGCCTCTTTCAGACGCATTTCCTTCTCCAGCACTATACTCTTCACGGTCATGGAAACTGAATATACCCAAGCTAGCACCATGAAGATCGGAAAGGCGCGGTTTAAGGTGATCATGAAGCTACCAGAGCAAGAAGGGAGAAATGAGTTAAACTTAGGTAAGAGGAATATCGAGATGAAAAGCAAGAATGAAAAGGGGTGGGGAAGAATGCATTTATTAAATAGGGGACTAGAAATTCTCAGTCTAAACATCAATAATGCATTGCTAGTGAACATCACAACCAATCTAAATATTAATGAACTAATGGTTGCTGCACTCTCATGAGACAGATAAATGTTATTTCTACTTTATAGAAATTCTAAGGGTTACTAAAGGCTACAAAACATGCAATAAGAAAATACATCTCTCTTCACAGTGAATTGCCGTAATGCTTTTACTACGATTTACAAAGAATATTTTAAGACATATGCTAATGTTAACAATTTGGGAGTTTCACTGTCTTTTTATGCTCCCAAGATTCACTGGCAAAAGGATTAAACAAATTAAACATTAAAAGCATTCGATGTTGCCAGAAAGGCTGTGGAAATTCATGCAAACCATGACTCAGAGAATGCTTTGGGATTGTCCCACATAGAACCACTTCCGAAACGACAGTGCTGGGACAGGTTGCTGTGGGTGGCCCTTCGTGTACTGCAATGAAGGCACTGCTCCCTTTCTCCATCCCAGCCCCCAGACTCTACGACTGCTCAGCCCTGGCAGATGCTCCTTGGGTGAAGCACTGCCCCAAGTGTGCTGTCAGGATTTTGGGATGAAAAAGCTGAAAACATTTTCTATGAATTTGGAATTGCAATTTTTCAGTGAAATTACCCTGAAAGACAAATGGACTTGACTCTTTAAAGGCCAAAAGCTAGAGCTGCTAAAAACAGAAAGGAGAAAAATAACTTCAGCTTCCTAAATCTGAGCCTTACAAAACATTTTTGCCATATGTTATCATAGCTGCTCCATCGTCAAAATGAACGGAAAAATCTTCACTTTTTCACCAAAAATTTCTGAAGAGCAATCTGGCCCACTGACAAAAAGCCATGCTTTTGTGGAATGGCCTGGAGTACACTGAGTTTTGCCTGTTGGTGGACATATGTAACCCAGCACCAGGCCATGCATAGCACAGCATACATGTTTACTATGAGGATACGCTTTCTTGACTTAAGCAGGCTCTGTGCAGAGGCTGTCACTGGGTTTGGATATCAGCCCTGAACTGCCCATGGCTGCTGCAGAGAACTTTTGCACAGACGGAGTTTCTACCTCTGCAGTATTCTCAGTGGTGAGGAAATAAAGAGTAGGTTTTCCAGGGCAACATGTAGTGACAGGTAATGACTGGTGGGGAACAATACATCAAATTCTGTATGTCTGCAATCTGCCGTTATCTGAAGTACATTTCCCTGCACAGAGCACACTGACAGAACTATGAAATGATTTCTATAGTGCCTTTTTTTTTTCCTAGCGAAATGTGTATCAAGACAGTTGCAGTAGCACAGATTGCAGCATTGGAACAGGCGCACTGTGAACACGAAGAGGCACCACTTCTTAAAATCTGGAGCACACATGCTGGTTCAGGCAGTGCTAATGGGGGTCACAGCATCCATAGCTGCTCTGTCTCCCTGTAGCCACGAAACCTCCACGTCCAGCAGCATAGCCTCTTTCTTTTTCCATTACAGAGCAACAAAACACCTCTTCCTCTCATTTCTTTGTTGTTCTTTTCATCAGGGAAAGAAAATTCTGGTGCCTGCAATAATTAACTGCAGCCCCAGTCCTGGAAACCTTTGCTAATTTCGTATGAGATTTAAGACAAGAATCAGTCAAGTTGCATAAAAACCATGGACAGCAATCAGGAAGAAGCAGGTTAGAAAATAATAGGTTATTGTTGAAAAGTGTAGCATACACAAGGGAAGAAAAATGGCTGATATTAACAGAAACCAATATATCCAGTTTGATTGCAGATACTAGTCATGTAGTCATAAAAGGAATCCTGTTCAGCGATGTGGTTAGGATTTTGGAAAGAAAGAATTTCAAGAGTCTAAATTGTCTTGGGATTCTGCAAGGCCTGCAGGTGTCTTCAAGGACTAAAAACTACAGCTCTGGGTATTGGTATATCTAGATATGATTAAGCCTATGGTTAGAGTTTGGTAATATATTTGAAGAGATTGGGTTGTTTGATCCTTCAAGACTTACAGAGATAGTATGAGAGGCACCAATTCCATCGTGACAAGCATTTTCTGTTCAATTTTTCTTCAGGAAATGATTCTTTGGATATAAAGAAAGCTGGGTTTTAGAGAGGTAATTAGGGAAAAGAAGCTTACTATATTAATGGATTCTGCACAGTTAACTGAAGGATGCAGTTTTTGTTCTAACACTGGTCAGTGCTTTGTGTTCAGTTTTGCTATAGGCACTGGTCATATGCTATAGCATGAGGCTTAGTTTTAGTTAGATAAAAAGATCAAATTTTTTCTGGGTCCTGTGTAATCACAGGCGTAGTTCCAGGGCGGATATGGTTAGGGATCAAAGCATTATAGCTGGGGTGCCCTGTTGACAATGGATTCTCGGCTATGATCAATGTGAAGGTTTTATGATAGGTTATTAGTATTGTCTGGACAAGTAAGGCAAAAAAGCCCCAGATTATTTTTTTTATTTTGAGTGATATGCAAAACTGTAAGAAAACTGCTGCTTTTAAGGGGCCAGTGTTTTGCTATATTTTAGGTCTATATGCTGGTTGCCTGGATGCAACCCTAGGACTGTGATTAGCAGTAGAATCTTGGCAAAGGTGGCTTCTGGAGTGTGGATTATGGCAGGATAAGGAAAAGAACAAAGTCATTCAGTCGTGTTTCAGTTATTGCTCTTCCATATATACCTTAGGACTAGGGTTAGAACTGGTGCTTGAGAGTCTTAAAGCACCCAGCAATCCAAGTATTTATCAGAATTAAGACAAACTGTTTTTACTCACACATCATCCACAAAACATGGATATGGCATTTGCTGCAGATAAATTCCTAACGGCACTTGAGTGTTGGTCTGGGTCTTTATAATCCCATGCTCAATCATGTCTTGGAGATATGCAAAGCCTCCCCAGATATAACGTAAATCATCCACAGGATCAGCTCTTGGACCAGGATCCCAGTACCTCAAAAGAAAATTCACATGGAAATCATTCGGGTAAACAGTGGCTTTAGGGAAGGGGCAGGGGGGAGATAAATAAATAAATAACATCTTAGCTACTGAAATCATAGGGCCGCTGCCTGGAGTTGTCTTTTCTAGATTTTGGTCTGTCAGATCACGTTGCTTGAGAAAGTATATGACCTGTAATGTTAGTTTCCTTTAATTTTCTCCACACTGACACAGAATAGCAATTTTGGCCACAAATGTACATAAATTAATCATGTAGCAGAGTAACTGTCCTAGAACAGAAATAACTGTATTCAGAATACAGTATCCTTGGAGAGTAAACTGGAGCAGCTGGATTTCAACTACCAGACACCACTATATTCCTCTGTGTAGGTGATGCTGAGATATTATTTCTGCTATCCCTTTAAATGAGCCCATTTGAGGGGGACTTGAGGAGGAACAGCAGAAAAGTTCTGCCGTTCAGGTGGAGAATAGCTGGGTCAGAATTCATGCAGGACTTCCTTGTCTGCCTCTCCCAGTGACAGAGCCAACTAAAAACTTAAGCAGGTTACTGAACAGATTCTGAGCAGAGTCATTCCCTTTGCCATGTATCCATGCATCTACCCACTGTCCAGCCTGTCTCAAGAGTGATACCATTTGTGCCAGTACCTGGTAACTGGAGATACGCTCTGCGCTGCATTACATACTAACTATTGGTGAATACGGTTGGATTTCATGAATGTATCTAATGCAGGTTCTAATGTCCTTATGTCTCTCATATTCATCTTATGGCAGGCAAGAACTGAGAAGGAACTGTTACTTACCTGTCTTTGATTTTGTTTGTTTTCTCCACTGCATCTATGTCCATCCGGATCTTGTATTTCACATGTGATGGAAGACTGCTGGTTGTAGGCTCTATGTCTGGAAAAACCACACCAGCCCAGAATTTGTTTTCCTCCAGCAGATGAAGGGCTTGATGAGTCAGTTGAGTTTCATCAAGATAACCTTCAAATTTATCCAAGGTCAAGCACTACAAATAATCACAAAGAGAAAAATTGCACAAGAATGAACTAGTAAGAGGTATACATTAAAGCAAACATCAGTGGTTGAAAACAGAAAAGGGAGGTAGGTTCATCTGAAGTAGTTGAGATTTTTAACTTTAAAAGCTTGTAACCCTCTCCTCCTTCCTGAAAGCTTCCCCATTCTTACTCTAATTCTTATGACAAATTCAAAACACATAGCATTATCAGTACAAGCTCAGAAACATCATTCTCCCTGAAAAGAACTGCAAATGTCAGATTTAGCATTGCTGTGGTCAACGTGAGTGGATGGAATAATTTTGAAAGCAGCTTATTCCTGATATTTAAGGATCATCTCCTCCAAGATAAATAAATGTCCATCCTGACAAGTAAGAAATCAAGCAAGGGTGGCCACTAAAGCAGGAGCTGCTGTTGCAATTTAAGTATGACAGGGCAAGTTTAGAAGCACCTATACAAAATATATAGCCAGCACTAGGTTCAGCTAAAGCCTACAGTGTCATGTTTACTAATTAGACAGAATGAAATAATTTTTAAAAATATATTTAAACCACTGTAATCATCCAGCCATGGAAATATGAACTCTGCCACTTGGACTAGGAAGGTTCCCTCAAAAAGGCAAATATCTGAATTGGAAGGGCTAAAGCTGCAGCAGAGATGAGGTCCCAGTATCAGGAACTGTCTCCACAGTCTGCATCCAGGAGATAAAATTGACTCAGCTATAAAATAAACCTGACCACGAGAGCTTTCTAACAGTCCAGTTGAATCAAAACACTATCGTTTTTCAAGTCTTGGGACATTTTTTTCAGCCTAGGAAGTGCCTGAGTGAACACCAGGGAGCTAAAGAGTGACCGATCCATAAGAAAAGCACATTAGCCATGATCTTCAGCTGAGAAGCACTTTGTCAAGTGAACCACTGCCAAAGTCAGAACATAAATTTGAAACGTAAAGTATCAGGCATTTGTTACTATTTAATGCCAGTGAACTAGTCAATTGCTCTTACTGATAATATTGTGTCCCTACTGAATTCTGACATGTGATTAACCTGCTGGCTTAAGTTAACGTGCTTCTTCCGCTATCTCAAGAATAAAATATAGTTTACCCTTCACAGCAAACTGTCTTTTTTCTTAGTCTTTGTCATTATTGTGAAATGTATTATTATCACTCCATGTACACCAAGTGATCAAAATCTAAGCCCTTTATGTCCCCCCATTTAACTCCTATTTAACAGGCACTGTAAGACAAAAAGATTGTGAACACTACAAACTATCATTAGTTAGCTGTAAAATTACAGACCTAGGTTTTGTTTGCATATTATGCTTTCACCTTTCAGAATTGGCAAGACATTGCCAGAGTAGAAGTATTTAACCCCCTGATGGACTGGGAAGATACTTATTGAATTACCTTCTTTCATAAATTTCCAGGAGGCTAACTTGTTTGATCTTATTTTCTTGATCATATCTTGCAGGTCAATGACCAAAAATTACTCCACATCAAAGTGCTAATACAGGCAATTTGTTATTTAATGGGCAAACATCTTAAAGACTTCTTTATTTAACCTTTCCCTGCGATAAATCATTGTCTGTTACCTTTAAATATTGAAGTATCACAGTTTAATGGGATCTATACAAAAAAGTATTTTTAACTGGCAGCAAAACAAAACAGTGCTTAAATTGATAACATTAATGTTTTGTGGCTTTACTCTTCCTGGTGTTCTGCAAATGTTCATTCTCCGAGTTTGCTTTACAAAATTAAACTACATAGAACTTCACATCAGAAAGCAAGATAAGGCAGAAAAACTTTTTGGTTGGTATGCCGGAAGAGAAATCAAATTAGACTGCTAGTTTGGGTTGTATTAATTTTTTGAGATTTGCTTATCTAACACAGAACTCAGTTTAGGTCTTGCCAAAGTGTCAGTGTTTCCTTAGCAAAGTCCTGCTGTGGAACTGTCTTTGCAGTGTCTGGAGGACTATTTGCTGTTCCTTTGTTATGAGGAATTGTTTTCAAGGTCCTTCTTGCAGCTGCAGAAGAACTCATGTAGTTCTCCAGGGGAATCTGTGGGACTGGCACTGACAGTTGATCTTGTCTAGATTTTCACTGCAGAATAGACAGTGGCTGGACTGGGCTGAGGAACAGTATAGGCTCTTAATGCAGGGGTTCAGACAAGGAAGCAGCAAGTGTTCAAAACAGAAAACACAAATGCTTATAGATCTGTGTGAGTAAAATGAAACCAAAGCTTGTACAGAAACATAGCCTAAGACACTCGTGTTGCAATAATTCACAGAATTTGAAAGAGAAAAGAGATTTTATATTGCAATCTACTAGTCAAAAGCTAGAATTTCTTTCTCTTAACATTAACTGCATTCAAAACAAAAGCTGTATGCTCTACCTAGGCTTTTTCTCAGTGAATTGTAACACAGCTTGTGCCTTCATAAACATTAAAATTCATTCATCAACCACTCGGGGGAATTTATTTCAAATCTTCTCCCAGTAATGATTTCATAATTTGAAGTGGTCCAATGAAGATGAGAAAACCAAAACTAAAACACTAAAAACAGTTTTGGAAGATAAAACCAGAAAATAATAAGCATAAAGAGGTGACTAGGTAGTTTTCACAGACAGTTTAGCTGTTCTGTGGCCTTAGGTAATCAAAGGGAAGAACAGAAAATTCTTGTGGTGGTGAGGATGAACAGCCACTGCATAATTTGTGGGATTCTCAGCTGCACCACAGCTTCCAGCAGAGATCTGGAATCTCCAAAGATAGCTGCTGGCAGCACACCTCTCCTCATTGCATACTATGGCAAGGAGTAGGGTGTTCCTGAAAGGGAGCTACTTGTTCCCATTGTGCTTGGCACAGTGTGAAAACGTTCTCAAATGCTAACTCAGTGTAAAGAGCAGACTTAAAAGAATAAGCTCATAACAAAGAAGTTTAGGACACAAAGGTACAGTAACATTGTGGATGTTCCAGCACTGACCTGCTGCAAGCAATATATTTCACTCAGCTTGAATAAGAAATAATTCTACTAACCTGATGCAAAAAGATCATCAGAAGATTCAGCAGAGCTTTGTGCATTTTTTTTTATTTGTGTAACGAAACTTCACCTCACTTTCTGCACTGTGGCTCTCAAAAAGCCTCAGATAGCCCCACCGAAAACACAGGACCCGAGAAAAGCGGGGTACAGATTCCAGGAAAGACACAGACATCCTGTCAAAAATGGCTACAGAAAAAGTGGAAACTCTCTCGTTGGTTTCAATGGAATTTTGATCAGATGCTTAAAAACTTGAAGGGGGACTTACCAAGGAACTATCAGCTTCTCTGGTCCTGGTCTTGCTGAAATTAGTGGCCTATTAGTTATCAGTACTTACAAAAAAAACATTTCCTTGAGGTTTTGCATTCACTTTCTGCCTCTCCACATCAAAGTATGTTCAGACATTCAACCAACATTTTGAATATAGCATTTGGGGATCGTCAAATTGAAGGTTGTTTTTTTTTCATAATGATACGTATTCATGTTCTTGTACTGCTGCATTATTTTAAAAACATGCTTTTAATATTAAGATCAAATTTGAAACAAATTAAGATGTCTTATGATTTTAACCTTGTTGTCTCTTGCCACAGACCCCAGTTACTGCCTACCCTGCTTTAAGATGTTCTCTACAAGCATCCCCAGCAGTGGAAGGGCTGACCTTACCTCCAGATACTGACTGAGCAAACGCAGAGCTTGGTCTGCAGCACCGAAGATGTTCCGCCAGTCAAAGTCTGCCATTCCCTTCTGCCGGCTCCCCGGAGACCCGTTGTGGAGAAAATTGATTATGTGTTCAGCAGTTAAGCCTTCAGAACCCAGCTGGCTGTTCAAGAAGTCCCTCACTGTAGGGTGCTTCAGAGAGTCCTGAGGAAACACATTAGGACAGCTACACTACAACGATCCTCTTCACATGCCCTGTTTAGCTAGAAAGGGTTTCCATTTCCATAACTCTTTCTGGGCCATGAAGTAGTCCAAGAAGGTATGCTAAAGAATTAATTCTATAAACAGCCAATTGCATAGCTGAAGTGGAGGTGAGACTTGAAGAATGGAAGAAAAGAAATTTATCCTTGACTATCTATTGCATTGTTTCCTTATAAGCAAGAGGATAAATGCAATAAATGTCTAATCTAATATAGAAGAGTGTGGAAAAACAAACGTTTTCTCTAGTATGAACTACTTTATAAACTTTAACTGCAGATATTACTTGCAGCTGATCAAAGTGAGATCTAAGGGATGCGGAAATAAGCAATTTCCTAAGGTAGTAAATTGCTGGGCCCAGCAAAAACACGGTCCTATTGCCTTCTCTGCCTATGCAGAACCTAAGAAAATTGTCTGTTCTTGAAGGACATTTTGGAGAGACAGGGAAGCAGTGATTGCTGCCTTCATTAAGAAGTCATTAGCCAGATTCTAGACAGTGTCCAGATCTGAGGTTTTGTTGCAGAGACACTGTAATGGATCTAAGATGAGCCTTCAACGAAGCCCAGTAACCAGTACAACAGCCTCAGAGGCCAGATTCCTTTCTGCAAAGCCTGTGCTTCCAGCCAAACCTTCCAAATTAATTCTCTTCTCCCTTAGTGAAAATAAAGGATGCTGAAAGGCTGCTCTTACTAAGGATCGCTGCTAAGTTATAACATACACGGATCATATTCATTTGCAGGCTGTTTTGAAAGAAGTACCACAGCTGAGGTCCTACTTCTTCCCAAGCTTTGGTCAACAGTCTGAGGCGTTTAAGTTCCTCAAAAGTGGAGTTTGCCTGAGGAATAGAGCAGCAGAAAAGAGTGTTAGAAAGCTAAGGAGATAAACAGAATTTATGATCCAGCCATTCAGTGACAGTGAAACCTGTAACTTACAAGTGTTGTAGTTATTACCTTCAATACTTAATAAACTTGTTAAAATAGCAGAAATGTTAATAATCCTTAGAAAAAGAATTTGTAAAATCCAACTGGAATCAAAGTCACTTAGGATAAATTTCTGTTGTATATGTAATGGAAAAAATAAGTGCACATTAATCTCAGTTAACTTCAATTCCTTTAAATACTCAGGTTTTAAGTAGAATGATTTCTTCATCTCTTTTCCCCCTTGACTATTTCTTTCCAGTAAGAACTAAAAAGAAAGATGATGATGTGGGTAGGTGAATAAATGGGAAGCAGTTGGAGAAGACATACACATTAATAGTTAAAATATTCGTTAAGATTTGAAATGTTGGGCTGCTGTACATCTATTTTTTTTCTTGTGTGAGCTATGAGCAGCAGTTCTATGTCTCACATAGATGTTGAGACTAAGCGAATTGCTGGTTATGAAGCAGCCAAAACCTAGGTCATATGTGACCTTGATTTAACTGCTCAGATTCATTTCATCCAACTTCCAGCACTCAGCTGCAGAGTCTAGGTCCCATCCTATTTTCATGAAGTGAAAAGTATTTACCATTTCAACATATATAGCACTAACCCATGAGGTTGTGATTGGTTTGTCATCTCTGTGTTAAGTCTCAATGAGCTTATCCAAGCCTCATAGATGCCCCCTTGTCACGGTCCTCTCTATCTATCTATGTGTTTGAATATACACCATTTGTCTTCACAAGCGTGGATGTCTGTTTCACTGGATCCAAATATTTTTGTTGGTCTGTGTCCTTCATGTCTGAAGTATATGTACATATATATTTTGATTTAGGATATCTTGTAGTAAGTTAGTGTGAATATTTTCATTTTTGAATCTGTATTTAAGCAGCTAGTTTAATTATAACATATCTTACTGAATCATCTTGTTAATCCTTAAATTGGTTAATCATTAAGTGCTGCTAAAATTCAACCTCTGATTTACCTCATACCATTAATAAATCTTAAATCACTGCTAAATCATAACCATGTTAAAATATTTCATCTGCAACACCTGGATCCTACTTAAATATTTACTGGCACAGAGCTACTGATGTTCCTACATTTGTAAAATATATATAAACATTACTATTTTTACTAGTGTAAATGTGGAATCATGCCAACAAAAGGCTATTTGAGCTGGAAAAAGCATGTAGTGTGGACCAAGATAGGATGAACCAGTGAAGATCCGTCTCTTTTTTTAAACAACGAGTAACTGTCCCTCCTCTGATGATCATCAGAACAAATGGAGTTCTGAAAAGAAAATCCGATTAGGTTGAGGTAGCTGGGTCACTGTTTTTCAAAATATTTTTCTTACAATGCAATTTTTTAGAAATACGCATTTTTGTATTTTAGAACTTCTTACATTTTTTAGGATTTGCCGTACGGGAGGTGAATCAGGAGCAAAGAGAATTTTTCCCATCAGCAGGGGCTTCACAGCACTCCAGGCTATTTTGGTTAAAGGGTTTGATTCCAAGTTCTGGATCAATGCATTACAAAAGGGTGCTAAAGACAGAAAGAAAGACAGTCTTTATGTAACCCTTCTCAAATCCTATCATACATAACTTCCTGCAGGGCTTTTTACTGGATATACGGACAGTTTAAAGCATTTTGAATCTGAATGGGTTAAGCACATCCTGTAACTTAGAAGTACAATGTCTGAATAGATGGAAAAGACACCATGGACATTGGAAGAGCAAACATAAATAAATTGAACCATTTGACAGTTGCTGTTATTTATAAGGTATTTCAAATGGAAGGAAACTAGACAGTTCAGATGTCACTGAACAATTCTGAGCTCTAATTACTTTTTCTCTTAATGACTTAGGTCCTTTGGATTGCAGTTGATACTGACATAAAGCTATTTTTAATCCTATCTGTGGTTAATTCTTACACAGTATAAACTATTGGACTGGAGAGCCAGCAGGCTTGGATTTTGAACTCCAGAACAGTTCAGAACTGGATCCTACAATAATTTAGAACTAAACATTTTAATGTAAACATTTCTATCTTACTTCTGCACTCTGAAGTAATTAGTTTACTTGGATAGCATCCACCTATTTTGTTCCCTGGCTGAAGAAATGGAGTACTGGGCCTTTTACAAGTTTTTTGAAGGTTCAGACATAAGTAGAGTCAAGTATCAACATGAACCGTGAAAGGTAGGAGTCTCTCTACAAGTGAAGTGCTCACCTGTACTTTGCAACCATGCAACCATATCTATCATAGCAAAAGGGACATAGAAATCTATTACTAGCTATAATATGGCTGTTAGTACAGAAAAAAATTGCTGGTGGTCTCAATGTAGAGAAAAATTAAATAGCAAACAGAAGGGGACGTAATAAAAAGATAAAATAACGAATGGTAGAGAAGATAAAATTGGTTCCTCTTTGCATTCTCCTATTACAATAGCAAGAAGACAAGTGACAAAATCAAAGCAACAAAACCTGGTAAATTGAAATACTTTCTATGTAAGATTTAATTATGCTATAGAACATTACTGCTACAAAATATATGTACTTTTATGCAGGAAGAGAACAGTAGCCTTGTATCAAATTGAGTACTATTTAAAAGGAGGGATTTTAAAATTCCTGTACTCCAGGCCATCGATCAAGTTGAGAGACTTTAAAAAAAATTACCTTGGAGAAGAGTAATTCCAGAATGTGGCACTGTATTTTCCTGAACCTTCTTCAGAAGCATCTAGTTCTTCCTGATATCAGTAGCATATATTAAAAGATAAGACAGAGGGACTGTCTTAATTATGATGATGACAATGTTTATGTCTTCAGATTGAAAGCAAATGCATATTTCTGTCAGTTCTCAATTTGTGGGCTTCTCTACTTCCAGCTATGAAGTAAGTATGAAGTAAAACCATTTCATCTGCCTCTAATTTCCTGAATCAACTGCTTAAAAATGTTATTTTATAAAAGTGACAGTGGTATTCCAACATAAGTTGCACCTGTCTACAGTCTCTGTAATGGTTAGCTGGAAAAACTTACTGGTTGTATTATCATAAAGATAACTGGATTTCTTCCTTGTTGAGTCAATCCCCAGGAAAGCTTTGTAGTTATTATCTTCATACCAGTTGAAGGAAAGCACTCTGGATCCACCTCCTTCTGGGTAGCCACAGAAAAGATCAGACAAGGAGCTCATCAAGTGGCCTAAGGATTCTGGCCTTCCTTCTTGTAGAAACGGCTGCAGAACCACCAAAAGGTCCTGAACGCTTGGCTTCCTGGATAGCTGCAGTAAGACAAGACTTTGTTAATCGCAACCCTCAAAGGAGGTTGAAGTCTCTGTATACGGTGAAGTCTCTGTTATGCCCAAACTGGTAAACTATGGATGCAGTTAGAACCTCAGCCTTTTATCTCCTCTATCCTGTCACATTTTCAGTTCTTGTTCTCTCATGTTTTTTTCTGAAGAATATGCTTCATAATTGCCAATGCTTATGTCCACGTTTATTTTGTAATGAGAGAAGAATGAATTTCTAAGGAATCAGCTCTTCCCAAACAAGTCTATTTCCTTTGTAATAAAGCAGACAACTGGAACATAAAAAGAACAAGGGAAAAGGAGGACTATGAGCTACCCAGAGAAGCGATGTCATCTATCAGATGTCATCTGCAACTTACCTTTTGCACTGCTTGGGAGACATTAGACAGCACCCTCCCCCAGGCCCTCAGGTCAACTCCTGGTGAGTTTCTGTCCAACACAGTGGGAAGCTGTGAATATATCAGAAATACAGATGAGTTTTGTATAGTTTCTGCATGACAACAGCTATTACAGTGAGATAAGAAAATCCAAATGGCGTCTCTTTAGCTCAAATACAGTGAGTTTTGTAACCCTGTCTTGTGGGGCCACAAATCCAGTATCCATGTGCAGACTCACACAGCAGCCTGTGTAAATGTTCTTACTAATATGAGGCTGAAACAGTCACAGGCCACTGAAAATATAGCTTGAGATTTGTTCTGTTTATCTAAGCCCACCATGCCAAAAGGTGCAAAAATGGAGGAAGAATGTAGGAACTGGGATTTCTGAGAAGCTGCTTTTCACAGAGGCTATTCTTCCAGTGAGATGTACAGACTCTTGGTAACCTCTGAATTTAGCAAAGGTAAAAAGAAGTGATACAGAAGCTCCCATTTGCCATGGAGGTAAATAACTGGTAGTACTTCATACTTGAGAGATTTCCTGATTTTGGAGACAGTCTGGTCCCGTTGTCTGTCAGATCTGACAGAAGACATTACTTCTCCAGATTCCTGCAGACTGGCCTAATGACCTTTCCAGCAGAAGATAATGCTTTAGTTATCACTGGCTTCTTAAGAAACAGGTGACACCACGGTGTGCTTTAACATACCACTTTGCTTGCACCACTGCATCCTTCTTTGTCAGCCATCTAAAGAATCACGTGTGGTTGGAGTTAGCACTCTTGAGGCTCAGGCATCTATTTCTTCTTATATCACAATAAAATATAAAGCTGGACTTTTAGACAGCTAGACTGCAATATTTATGAGATAAGCCCCTAAAAAAGACTTCCTCAAAACTGTGTAGCTATACGTCCTGCTGATTCTCTGCCATTCCTTTCAGTCAGCAGGTGGTTAAGAAAGCAGAAGACAGCTGCACTGTGTAGGTACCTGGCAGGGAATCACAAATGCAAATTTTTATGGAAAGCCTATGTTACCATATTCTGATCTGTCACTTGCAGTTCAGGCAGGAAGTATACACACACAATGCTTCAAAATACACTTTTCCTTTGTCCTCTAAGGGGAACCAGTCTCTGCAAAGTTTATACAGGATTCTTGGAGCACTCGCCTTAACCTGGCCTTTTTGAAACTGTGAGCAACAGGTATTGTAAACAATCTGAAGCAAACCAGAGAAAAGCCTGGGATAAATATGGAATTAAGAACCTCCTCCTTGTAGCTAGAAGAAAAGGAAACAGAAATAAGGGCAAAATTACACGTTTGCTTCTAAATATTATTTCTTGCAGGAGGCATGCAGTGTGAATCAGGTCTTAATACAAATGTCCTAAAACAACTGAATTTGTACTCAACTAGTTTATGTTCTCTAGGAGCACACATAAGACAGGATCAGCAGATATTATATACAAACTACACTCTCATCTGACCTAAATATCAGAGCATACAGTTGGGAATGTTTATTGACCCTAAGCACAGAGTTGGATGAAAACTTTCCCCAAAATATTTATCCAACTATTTTCATATTCACTGGAAGTGAATATGGTGTCATGAAAAAAAGGAAGAGCATAAACATTGAAGAGTTTATTTCCAACAATAGAAGGCCCAGTTCGGGAATCCACAGTCAGCTGCTCATCCTAAAATAAGCCCTACTCAAACAAGGAGCTCTGCAACAACAAATTTCTGGTATGTAATTTTTTATACTATACAACTGTAATCTGAAGACAATGAAGTAACAGAGTGACTGACAGTGTAAGTGCAGAAAATAACCTGGGTCTTGAATACACTGGTATTTCTAAAGCAGAAGTTTTAAAACTAATGTAGAATTTTAAAAAGTTTAATGAAGATTCATTCTGCATATGTAACTGCGTGTAGATTTACACTCAATTTGACTATGTATCAAGTGCATGTGGTGATACTGATGAAAGCAGCTGTTTCAGCAACATGTGTCTATCCTTAGTGAAGAACTGCTCATCTCCATCCAAAACTGCAATAAGGTATTAAAGAATTTTATTTTCATTTATTTAGAAGGTTTAAAGAACTTCAAATGAAGCTTAAACAGGCAGGTTCAAGAACAGCAGTGCCCCAGAAAGAGGCTCATTTTCCTTGCTGCAGCTGAGCCAGTCAGACAGAAAAAGGAAAGATCTTATTTTTCTGTCTCTGCTTTGTTATCAAAAATGTGAGTTGCTTTAATTTCTGGCAAAAACCCCTAGAGGGTATACATGAGCACATGAAAGATTTGAGTGTGTGTTTATGCACATACATAACTGAATATGCAGATCACAATTCATCAAGAAATATTAATTTCAAAGAGGTGAAGCAGCACATTGTAAAAATAACTGTGGCAAGGAATGCTTATGCACAGTCTACCTTTTAGTTTAACAGGAGTAACTGAGATGGATTTTGATTTAAAAGGGGGACTTCTGCCTTGCAGAAACCCAGAAATACACTAAAATTATAATTTAGCAACTATAATGATATGAGTGTGGGAAAGCTTCTACCAACTTGAGGTCTCATTGTGCTACGCGTCATGAAAAAATAATCCCTCTTCTCCACAGCTGGGTGCACATTAAAACCCACTGAGAACCAGACTATGGATACCCTTCCAACACAGAGACTTCCAGTTCTCAGGGGACATAGTCTTGACAGATCGATCTTGTAGTAACAGACCACACTGTGAGCCCCTGGTCTTTCATAACTCCAGGTTTTGGTTTCAGGTTTATGTTCCTATTTCCCATGTGAGTCTATTTTTGTTTAAATGTACAAAACTGCTTCATCAAATCTCATCTTCCCATTTTATTTGATATGGCAGTAAAACATGATATGTTAGCAGCTTAATTTTAAAGCTGGGCAGCGCAGTGTGCACATTCATGTGAAATCCTTAAATGCTGAAAACATCTCTTAGAAGTACTGTGGCATTAATTCTCTGCTACTTCCAGCAAACATCAGATACATGAAAATATCTGAGTATATTTTTAGGAATGGAAAACAGTAGCTTTCAAAAAGCTGACCAGAGATTCTTATCAGGATTGACAAAGTCACATGGGCACAATGAATGACTGTCAGTGCTACAATAATCAAACAGTAATTTGGCTGGTGTTCCAATTAAAGCTTCTGGCATAGTCCATTCCCAGTTCTGAGCAACTCGAAGCTGAATAAAATCCATGTTAAATTAATTATGATGTTACATTGCTGTGGCAGAAAAGTCCGATCAATACTTCCTATGTAACTTTAGCAGCTGCACATACATCCTGCCTGCTGTATACAGCCAACTGCCAATGTGATGGTCTTATGACATGAAGTTACACAGTGAAAAACCGCAAATTAAATTAATTGTTGAAAAATTTATGATAATGGGAAAACCAAACATGTATACACAGTCATGGGCTCTAAGTTTGCTGTCATGAGGAAAGAGACCTTGGAGTCTTCATGAATAGTTCCTGGAAAGCACCAGCTCAGTATGCAGAATACAAATGGAGTATTACAAAAATATTAGGAAAATAACAGAGAGCAAAAGCAAAAAAACCCCACACCAGTATGCCATTTTATATATATAAATATATATATTCATATTATTACTTTTAAATATATCCTAAAATATAAATAATAACAAATAATAAAATTATATAAAATGGCATATCTCAATACTGAACCAAGGTTGCAGCTGTGTTTAATTTACAGCAAGAAGGTCACAGTAGAAACAGGAACAGCACAAAGAATGGTAATGAACAGAGGTAAGGAAAAGCTTCTATAGAAAGAGTGATGAAAGTCAGTGCAACTTGTTTAGGTGGTTGGTTTTTTTATTTTTTAAAAATATGGCTCATGTGGACATGCCCACTCAAGCTGCATTGTGGCTTTGACTTCAACGCAAAATTCTGTCATGCTGGATGGAGCAAAGACAGCATAGGTTGTATAGGGTATTTTCAGAACCCTCGGCAAGGTCCCTGTAGGTCTTGCCACACACTATGCTGCTACACAGACTGGAAAGATGAGATAATAATTCCACTCACACTCTGATTTTAAAGTTGCACTTGAATATTTTAGTTCTGTTGTACTGTGAATTTCATCTGATTCATCCCAAAGCATACTCAGAACTGCCCAGTGTCCTGCTGATAGTAGGTTAATGATCACATATCCATGATCTTACACTTGCAGGGGTAAATAAACAAAGACCACTTGGAACATTGGTGATGTATGACAAAGAAAATTCTTGAAGGGTAATGAAATATCAGCCAAAAAAATGAGAACATAAGGCAGAATGATTGTGATAATACTTACCAGCTGAAATAGCTTAAAGAAATCAACATTTGCATACAAGGCATCTTCTACTCTCTGCAGGCTTTCCTGGGACAAGGCACACATGGCCTTGTGCACAGAAGGGAGACCTCTTCGACTGCTGAAGATAATAAAGCGGTCCAGGAGCATCTGACTGCAAGCAATGTCCTTCAGAGTCAAGCTAGGGACACCATAGGCAAACTGTAACAAAAACCAATATTTAATTTACTGTTGTGGAATCTTCATACTGCTCAGGAACAAGTAAAGATTTATCAAAAGCGGACACCTTGATATCAGCCCCTGCTAATTTTTTCATGAACAGCAGAAGGATGTGTTCAGCTGAAGCATTAACTCTTGAACAGCTTTCACTTGATGTTATGCTAGGTCACCTTGCCTTCTTCAGTCACGTTTTCCTTCTTCTCATTAGTGATTCTTCCTTTCATTGCAAAAGTTCTTGAGAATCTTCTTCCTTTTCTCACTGTCCTCTAAGCATACCTGATGCCATGCCACTCATCCTTGTGGTTAAGGAGGAATAGCTACAGCTTGCTTGAAAGTATTTCCCCAGGACCAAATGATTTTGCCACATCACTCCACCTTTTGTGTTTACTTTTTCGCTAGTTATATTTTTGCTGTTAGTTACTCCAAGAGAAAAAAGCCAGTTCCACTGATTCTCAAGCTTGATTTCACTCAGTAATATATTCCAGTTATGACTATTTCACCCCAGTACTTCCCCACAGCCATTATTCATTGTCACTGTGCACAGGCATACACAGCCAGACTTTACAAAGCCATTTTACATTAAACCACACCCATCTACTGATATCACTTCTAATATAAACATGAAAAAGAAAAAAAACACAATTATATTTAGTGTTCAACCACTGGGAATATCTTAGTTTACAGTTAAACCAATGTAAATGCAGAATAACCCCACAGAAATCAGTAGATTTACCTGGTATTTACATTGCTGTAATGGAATACTCTTGGTAGTCTAGGATTCAGTTCTACTTGCTTTATAATGGACAGAATATATGACAATATAATAAAAAGTAGCACTGGAAATTGCTCATAAGCTAATGTTCCCATCCTCTGTCCACCTCCTTTCACAGTACAATTTGTAAGGAAAAAAGCTCATAACACTGTGATGACTGTAAACACCTACTGTGTTTGAGACAAACACAGACTTTCAGACGAATAAGAACTATGCACTGAGAAAATATCATTAAGCTAAAAGTACTTAATAAGCTGCACAGTAAAAGAAATTGTCAAAATCTGCACAGAATATAATTTTATTTAGAAAAATAACCTGCTAATCATTCCAATGTTAAGGCATTTGGATCAAAATAAACACACCACACCTACGCCAGGTCAGATATAGGTGCATGTTTACTTCCTATCTAAGCAAATTAACAAGGCCATCTAAGAGACTCTGAACATAATCAAAATGTTATATTTGTACATCTCCTGTAGTTAGCAGCTGAGACTTGTTTGGCGGTGCCTGTAAAGAGAAATATTTAAAAGCCCAGAGAAATGAGGAAAAAACTTAATTCAGTTGCTTTGGAGAGTGGATTCAAGCTTGAGGAGTTATTAAGTGCCTCGAATATCAGAAGCTACCCACAAAACTGCAAGTGTGGCTGTGGA